ATATATATAGTAAAAACAAGGCATTGTTTACTGAGCAAACAGTAGGTTGATACAAAAAAACAGCATTTTGGAGACTGCGCACAGTATTTACACATACTAACTCTAAATACGCTTATATTGTACAAAGTAATTTACACTGTTAAAAAAACATGAACAAACAACTATCCAAATATTCATAAAATAATATAAAAGTAAAAACTGGCTTCATTCACAATATTGATGCACTCAGAAACTCTATCAAACTAACGTTACCTGTCCTCACAAGAGCCGATTCCTCACGTCTTCTTAGGTCTCAAAATCCTCCTGGACCCTCCGTGATGGTTTGATGACTCTTGAAGAACATCTTCCAGACATTATTCTAACAAAATATTTCCTCTCTGYTCTGATAAAAACACGCTGTTGCTCWTCACTTTCCACTTCACTCTGCACCGCACTTACGGTCTTTTTAAAAGAAGAGGACAAAATGTGTCTTCGCTGAGACACTCAGTGTAAGAGGGTTAAATGTTATTGATCAACATTCCTCTCAGTTGAGGGTTAAAGCTGTCATACATTTTGTTTATATGTGTGTCACTTATCTACAAGGTCACATGTGTCAAACTCAAGGCCCAAGGTCCAAATGAGGCCTGTGGGTGACTCTCATTTGGCCCGCCAAGTGCACTAAGTGACAATATTCTGCACACAGTAAGTCTTGTCTTATGTTGACTCTGAAGAATGTTTCATGYGTCAACTGGGTTATATTAGTGCTTTAGCATTAGCTTTGCTAAATTTTTCAGTGTGTTGGTGCTTTAGAATTAAGGGACCTAAATATGAGTAAGGACAGGCTGAGAGCAGTGGCGCTCTCTTCTGGATGAAGGCAAAACTACACTGAACTAATCAAATGATTAAATGGAAGATATTTTAATCTAGCGAACCAATATTCGACAATTAATCGTAAGTCGATTAATTGTTTTCATCCCTAAATGAAATATATTTATGTTTGTGGTTGTAATGTGAAAAAATATGGAAAGGTTCAAGGGGTATGAATACTTTTGCAACCCACTAAATAAAAGGATGAATCTCTTGATCTGTTGTGTGTCATCGTGTAACCCCCCAACAGTTTCATTATTTTTTCTGATTTGAATTGTATGTTTTAGGTGGGACTTCAGTGCTTCAGAGGAAGACATGATGCGTGCGTTGGAGGATGTCTGCGGGGAACTCTGTATCCCAAACAACTTCATCAGAACCGTAACACCATATGACCCCAAGAATTGTCAACCACAGCACACCCCAAACTGCAACATCAACCCTCAAACAACAGAGTTCTGTGCCAAACTTGGACTGACGGACCTCTATGCACAGGCTGTACAGGGAAGAGGAAAGCTGGGCAGATCTCAGAGCAGCAATGAGGAGGAAGAGGAAAAAGATGGATATGTGGATGAGCCCAGCGAGTATCCATCTGATACCTCAGGATTGTCAAGTTCTTTTAATCCTGATCAGATCATTTTAGAGGATGAGTGGGAGGAAGAAGAGGAGGGTGGAGCGCAGGTCACAGAGCAGGCAGATAAAYGCTCTGACATCCACACACCTGGCAGATTGGTTCTTCCTGAGCCCAAATCTACTATCTCACCCACTCCTTCCCAGCTGATGGATCTTCCCACTCCCCTCCACTCTACCCCAAAAGCTCCTCAACAGGAAGAGCAGTGTGACAGTGGAGATGAGGACGCCACAGCTGCACGCGTTCTTAAACGAAGCAGCACTGAGGGCAGAGAACCAGGCAGTAGAAGCACAATTCCCAGGATCAAACGCAGAAACCAGGACATTTACAAGACAGAGGATGAAGATGAGGGTTAGAGCTCAGGATAAACAGTAGTTTTATCAGTAAAATATGTCTGTAATACTTGTTGAAGCTGGGTTCTTTTCATACAGCTTATTATAAAAACTGAGAAGTGGCTCTGAACAACAAATGTGCTTCTGGATTTTCGCTCCACAGACACAGCTGCAACTTGGATGGTGTTTAACATTAATTTATCTTGTTTTTAGCAATACAAAAACATTTAAATGTCAGTTCATTTTTTGTACTTGGAATATCAGATTTTATAGTAATGTTCAAAGAAACTGAAAATGTTTAATTTTTAAACAAATAAACAAATTTGGACAAAAAGAAAGGCACTTCTGTACATATCGTTTATTGAATAATTTCCACCAAAGCTAAATTAAACAACATTCTGACAGAGAAGTTAATCCCAAGCGTTCATTGGTCAACCTAAAGTTCTCTTTCATAGCATTCGTTTCTTGTCTCACATTGGGAATGAAAATATACTGACTCCAGTATTGCTCAGCAGACTTCACTACATGCCAGCTGATCAGAGCATCACTTCTTCTGTGCACTTGGTGCTACACTCAGAACTGAACGAGCCAGTGATGGTGCTGTGACATCAAGTTTWTAAAACCGAGCAAACATGAGGAGAAGCCCAGTTTGCTGCGGCACAAATTTCCTGAAGGGACACCCCTTTAAGCAGAGCCCATGAAGAGCTTAAGCCCCTGGTGGAATGGGCACACAGGCCCTCAGGAGGCTGCAGCCCATTTGAACTACTATATATGCTAAGGCAATCGCACCAGTGATCCAGTGAGAAAACCGCTGTTTTGTTACCGGTTTCCCGCACTGATTTTTAGCCCAAGAGACAAACGCTCACTTTTTTTTACCTGTTTCGTCCTGTCCATGTAGATACATAAAGTACGTACTGGGCAGAGTTTGTGTAGCCTCTCCTGCTCCTCAGAAGAGAACGGAGGAGGATTAAAAGCCACTAACTCAATAGGAGAGTAAGAACCCAACACAAAGCAGGGTTTGGGAGCAGGGTCACCTTAGAATTGTCCAAACAGAATTTTGTGCAGGATGGGTGAACCGATAAAGCATGAATTTCACCTACACGCTTAGTAGAGACAAGTGCCAGCAAAAGTGCTGTTTTCAGCACTACCAACTTTAATACCACSTGATTCAGAGGCTCAAAGGGCGAAGTAGTGAGAGCCTCCAGTACCAGAGGAAGGTCCCATGTAGGGGTCATAGGTTTTGAGACAGGCATTTTTTCTGCGAGCCCCCTTCATAAACCAACCTACTAAAGGATGTTGGCCTGCTATTTTTCCCTCGAAGCCTATGTGGCAGGCTGAAATAGCCGCCAAATAAACTTTGATAGTGGAAAAAGCTTTTCCCTTATCAATCAGGTTCTGTAAGAAAGACAAAATGACAGCTACAGAACACTGATAAGGAATCTCCTGAGAGTCGGTGCACCATTTCTCAAAAGTGGACCATTTGCACTCATACAGAGATCTTGCTGCAGGTGCCCGTGCATTCTGTATGGTCTCAGTTACATTCTGTGGGAGGCCCGTGGATTAAAGGTTGAACCACTCATGGGCCAGGCCCACAGAGCCAGCCTTTCTGGGTGGGGGTGAAAGATTTGTCCCTGCGCCTGAGACAGCAGGCCTTTGCGGGCAGGCAGAGGCCAAGGCTCCTCCCAGAGAAGCTGAGTTATCTCTGCTAACCAGTGTTTTGATGGCCAGTGAGGTGCAATGAAAATCATTGACAGGCCCTCTGACCTCACTCTGGCTAACGTTGGTGAGATGAGAGCTATGGGAGGAAAAGCATAAAGCAGGACCTGAGGCCACCTGTGGGCGAATGCGTCCACCCACAGTGGTGCATTCTGGCTGTGCAGGGAGAAGAACAGGACACTGGTTGTTCTCTTGTGAGGCAAAGAGGTCCACTGATGGCTGTTGTGATAACCTTCCTGTTTTGTACAATCCCCATTGGCACACCCTGGGTCAGGGTGCTGATATCTCGCCAGGGGCGTAGGGCTGCAGCGCAGGCAGCTGTGACTCTCACTTTGTGAGAAATGTGTGAACTCAGCCTCAGCTGTGAAGCCACCCAGGAGTACRAGGTATTCGTAACATTTTCCCTGAAATGCAAACCTGAGATATTTCCTGTGTGGCGGATATATGGGTATATGAAAATAAGCGTCCTTTAGGTCGATTGATGTAAACCAATCGCCGTGACGCAGGAAGCGCAGCAGGGAGGCATGAGTCAGCTTCTTGAATCTGTATTTTCTCAGATGCTTGTTCAGAGCCCGGAGGTCTAGAATCGCCCACATTCCGCGGCTGCCTCTCTTCGGCACGAGGAAATAACGTGCGTAAAATCCCTCCCAGCTGCGCTCGGGTGGAATTAAGCTTATTGCTCTTTTTTCTAACAGCGAGGAAATCTCTTCTTGTAGAAAAAGAGCAGCTTCTCCCTCTGCTTGTGACTGAATCACTCCGTTGTAACTTGGTGGTGGTGGTGTGTGTGTGTGTGGGGGGGGG